TCTTGCTCTTCAGTAATCTTCCATGCAGTTTCCATTAACAAATAATCTTTACCCAAGTCATTTATGTCACCAGGGGTTCCAGAGTGATTTCCAATTTTTTTTTTTTCCCAAGTCGCTGTTTCTCTGTGTAATCTTGGCTGTCCTGGATTCACTTTGTAGACCAGGCTGGCCTTGAACTCACAGAAATCCACCTGCCTCTGCCTTCCAGAGTGCTGGGATTATAGGAGTGCACCCTGCTTGCCCAGGTAGTCTTTGTTGCAAGGTTCTGGAAAAGCAGAGACACTGGCCAAGCTGGGGGCTGTGGCTGCCTGGGGAAAAGGACTAACCTTCCCATCTGCACAAATGCTCCCCATGAATCTGCAGAAGCCACCCCCATGCAAGGACTGAAACTGTTCCAGGCTCATCAGTGAGTATTATCTCAATAAGAAAGCTGCTTCCTCCTAACAGGAATTTCCAGTCGTGGTCATTAGCGTAGGTGTGACCCAAAGGTAAGAGTCATCATATTTCTCTTTACAGGTCCGGTTCACCCCAACAACCTGTTCACTGGTGCTTTTCTTAGCACAGCCTTTTGCCCTAGTCTCCCTTTTCTCTTTCTCCACTTTGACCTCAGGGAGTCAGGAAGCTTCAGGCTGTGTTTAGTAACTAGTCTTAATGCCCCCACCCCCCATGGTTTCTCTCTCCCTGGGTAAGTAGGAAGTGCCTAAATGAGTCCTGAGGTGGGTGAGCTCTCTTCCCAGGAGTCACAAGGTGGGTGAGGGGGTGACATTAAGGGAAAGGAAAAAACAAGCAGAAGCAGATGTCCCAGAATCCCTGCTCCCAGCCTACGGGCCTGGGGAACCATGGGAAATGATGGCAGCTTGTAAGAAGTGTCCCCAATCTGGGCCTGGGCTCCTTCTAGGCTGGGCCTCTTGGTCCTCACCTCTCCGCAGTGACCTGATTCCTTTCCACAGACAAGCCAGTGCACCACCTCCAATTATTTTAGTATTTTGTATTATTTATTTATTATGTATTGGTATTATGTATTATTTATTTATAATGTATAATTATTCTTTATTTATTTTTATGCACATTTGGGGCATACCAAATGTGTGAGGGAGTCGGATCCACTGGAATTTGAGTTACAGACCACACCGTTGTGAGCTGCCATGTGGGTGCTGGGAATTGAACCAGGGTCCTCGAGGAAGAGCAGCCAACACTCTTAACCACTGAGCCATTTCTCCAGCCATCTAGATTTTTGGGTTTTTTTTGAGAGAAGGTTTCTCTGTGTAGCCATGGCTGTCCTAGACACAATTTGTAGACCAGGCTGGCCTTGAACTCACAGGGATTCCACCTGTGTCTGCCTCTCAGAGTGCTGGGATTAAAGGCGTGTGCCACCAAGCCTGGCCACTGTACATTTTTAAAGTGTGTACCAACAACTGTGGACAAAGTTTGCACACATAGGGCACCAGGAAATGCCAGGGTCCCTTTGCAGGTTCTTACTCTCATAGGTAAAATAACTAAACTTGGACACAGGAAAAAACACGTTATTAAAGTTAGGGAAAGCTAACAGTGGGACAGTCCCAGCTGGAATCCCTGCAGCTGCCTGAGAAGGCAGACTGAAAGAGCTGCGGGGAGGGAAGTCAGACAGCTGGCAGTCTCAGCAACAAGACCTTCAAATGGTGTGGAGGGGTGTGGGCCTTGGGGCATATGTGCCTTTATCAGTAAGGGGACAGTTGTTCCAGAGAATCAGAAGTTCAAGGCCATCCTCAGCTATGTGGTGAGTGTTCAGATATAAAAGACTGTCTCAAAACAAAAAAGAGAGATGAGTGGTGTGTCACTTGTCTTTAATCCCAGTACTTCACGGTCTACAGAGTGAGACCCTGCCTTAAAATACCGAAATGATGGTGGTGGTGATGATGATGATGATAATGATAAAAAGAGTTACCACAGGCCCCCCGCTGGCTTACTGCTTGTAATGTTTACTCCATCCCTGTCAGTGCTATGGCATTGGAGACATAGTTCACACGAGCTGCCAACTGCAGTAGCCAGAGTTTCTCCCCTTTGTGGACCCCTAGTCCCCTACTCGGGTAAAACCCAATTCTTTTTTTTTTTTTTTTTTTTAAGATTTATTTATTTTATTATGCACACAACGTTCTGCCTGCATGTGCACCTGAACACCAGAAGAGGGCACCAGATTTCATTATAGATGGTTATGAGCCACCATGTGGTTGCTGGGAATTGAACTCAGGACCTCTGGAAGAGCAAGCATTGCTCTTAACCTCTTAGCATTCTTTCCAGCCCCAAAACCCAATTCTTGACATCACAGCAGGAAAGATTTTCAGGGAGAGCCAGCATGAAGCAGAGTTAGAGTCTATTTTATTTGAAACTGGGTTTCATGTATCCCAGGCTGCCCTCAGAGTTGCTCTGTATCAGAGCATAACCCTGAATTTCTGATCCTCCTGGCTCTACCTCTAAAGTGCTGAGATTATAAGCATACACCATCATGTCTGGTCTTATGGGGTATAGAGCATACATCTTTTTAATTATGCATTGATGGGTGGGTGGGTAGGTGCGCGCGCAGACCCCAGAGGCACCGGATCTCCAGGAGGCGGAGTGACAGGCTCTTGTGCATGGCTTGGCTTGGTGGGTATTAGACTCCAGTCTGCTGCAGGCACTGTTCGTGTTTCGTGTTCTTCACTACGGAACCATCTCCCCAAACTCTTAGAGACATTTTAAACAGACTTAAGAACAGAGGTTAAGAGAAAGAGAGGTGCTTCAAACAAAGGGCAGAGTCTGCAGCTGTCTTCGCAGTAGTTACATGTAGGATTCTGGTTGTTTCTGAAGTTACTATCTACAAAGTGTGCGAAGAAATTTAAATGAGATCTCAGGATGGGTCCAGAGGTTTTCCAGGCAGAGTTGTATTGATTGCATAAAATATTAGACAAAGCAAGATATAGGATGCATCACTGTGAGTTAGTTAATAGTGTTTTTAAATGGCTGATTGTGTATGTCTGTGTATATGTATCTCTGCACGTGCATGTGGAAGTCAGGGATCAACCTGGAGGAGCTGATTCTGTACTTCTGCCATGTCAGTCCAGGTGATGGAACACGGGTTGACACCTTTAGTCACTGAGCCATTTTACCAGCATAGATTATAATATAATATGATATGATATGATATGATATATAATGTTCTGTATGTGGGATTCACAAAAGAATTCTAGGAGAATTAAGGCGGGTTTATTTGTATTTTAACATTCATATCTGAAAATATTTCTGTATAAAAGAAATATTGCCTCTGGTGGTAACAACATGGCAAATATTGTTAACTAGAATGGAAGCTTTTTGTTTGTTTGTTTGTTTTTGAGACAGGTTTCTCTGTGTAGTTCTGGCTATCTGGGAACTTGCTCTGTAGACCAGGCTGGCCTAGAACTCACAGAGATCTACCTGCCTCTGCCTCCTGGGCGCTGGGATTAAAGGGATACATCACCACTTGGCTAGAATTATTTATTATTATTTTTTTTTAAATATGAATACCTTTGTGTGTGTGTGTGTGTGTGTGTGTGTGTGTGTGTGTGTGTCAGGGTTGAGGTATGTACACCTGAGTGAAAGTGCCATAGAAACTGGTGGCAGCAGGTCCCCTAGAGCTTAAATTACAAGCTGTTCTGTAACAGCTGATGGCCCTCTACAAGAGCAGTACAGGCTTTTAACCACTGAAACTCTCTCTTGGGCTATAATTGTCATTTTCAAAACATTATTTATTTATTTATTTATTTATTTATTTATTTATTTATTTATTTATTTATTTATTATGTGTACAGTATTCTGTCTGCATGGCCAGAAGAGGGCAGCAGATCTCATTATAGATGATTGTGAGTCACCATGTGGTTGCTGGGAATTGAACTAAGGACCTCTGGAAGAGCTGCCAGTGCTCTTAACCTCTGAGCTATCTCTGCAGCCCCCTACAATTGTTATTTTTAAAGGTTTGTTTTTAGTCTATGTGTACAAGTGTGTATACCTACTTGTCTGTATGTGTACCACATACATGTAATGCCCATGGAAGCCAGAAGAGGGCATCAGATCCCTGGAACCAGAGTAACAGATGGTTGTTAGCCATAATTTGGGTGCTGAGAACCAAATCTGGGTTCTCTGTAAGAACAGTAGGTAACCACTTAGCCATTCCTCCAGCCTGGGCTGGTTAATTTATTTGTTTGTTTGGTTAGTTTTGGTTTTTCTTCTTAAAAAAATTATTTTTAAGATTTTTTTTTTATTTAATGTGTGAGTACTCTGTCTGCATGCACACCTGCATGCCAGAAGGGGTCATCAGATTCCAGTATTGTGATTATGAGCCACCATGTGGTTGCTAGGAATTGAACTCAGGACCTCTTCAAGAGCAGCCAGTGCTCTTATCCACTGAGCCATCTCTCCAGCCCTAGTTTTGGTTTTTTAAGACAAGGTTTCTCTGTGTAGCCCTGGCTGTCCTGTCTAGGAGCTCACTTTTAGACCAGGCTGGTCTTGAACTCATGGATCTACCTGCCTCTGTCTCTGCAGGTACTACCACTCCCAGCTCATGGCTGGAATTCTTGATTCTTAACTGGTTAGAAGCTTCAGCCAGACTGCTGTGTGAGGAACTAATTTCCCTTGTCTTTCCTGTCTCAAAACCTAAGCGTCAACACTGCTTGCTGGAGGCAGTCTCCAGCCACAGGAGGTCAAGAGAGAGGAAGTGGGAAGCCCAGCTCTCACTACCCTCATCTTCAGAGTGTCTCCAGCAGGGGCTGCTGTACCTCCTTTTTTCTCCCACACGGGCTGGCCTCTACTTCCCTAGAGGATACTTGGTACAGAGGCTCTGTCTCCCTCTGCCCCACTAGTTTAGGAAAGGGGAGAGAATGCTTGCCGGCTGATGCTAGTCCTAGAGGTCTTCTTGGATGCAGAAAGCTGATTGTGGAAATGGCCTGGTTGGTAAACTGGAAAGGTAAGGAAGCAGGATGAGGCAGGGGGAGAAACTGCAATGAAATGCTGTGGTGCCCAATCTGGCAACATATATACTAAAATTAGAATTATACAGAGAAGGTCAGCATGCCCTGTCCAAGGATGACACACAAACTTTTGAAGTATTTCATGTATACATACACATTTTAAAAATTAATTAATTATTTTTAGACAGGCTTTCACTCTACAGACTTGGCTGGCCTGGAACTCACAGAGATGCACAGCCTCTGCTGGGATTAAAGGCTTATCTCACCACCAGCCAGAATTTCACATTAAAAAAAAAAGAAAAGAAAAGAAAAAGAACAGAGATGCAATTGTGACAAAAGCTTTGGCTTTGGCAGCATGGTGGCTCAAGTGTGTAATCCCAGTTCTCTAGAGGCAGGAGGATTACTATGAGTTTGATGCCTGCTTGGTTACAGTATGAAACTGTATCAAGAAAAAACCCCAAGTAAAAAATACAAGCAACAGAACACAAACCCATCCTCCATCGAACAGGAGGACTGAAGTCGGTGTGGCTGGTCTTGATGCCGAGGCGAGGTTTTGGCTCCCCTGCTCTTCATTCTCACGGCCACACAGCTGATCTAGATTTGGCCCCAAGCAGGATGAACTTTGTCCTTGGCACCTCCTATCAGGCAGGGCAGTTCCTGGAGAGGGACTGGCTGTGGGCTACCATAAGTCCCCAACCTATGCAGAGGTCACAGGGTCAACCAAGATCCAAGCCAGCTTTACTCTTCACCGACTGAGTGACATTGACCTGCTTCTGATCCTTATGTAGCATGCATTTCCTTTTCCTTCTTTGTAAACAAAGCAAGAATGAGGGTTAAAGGAAACTTTGTTCCTTAAGGGGTTGGAGGCTCACCACACCCCAACCTGTGTTGGCTTCCCTCCTGGAACAGCTGTTAAGGTCTTAGCCACCCCCTCCCCTGTGTGGCCTGGCCTCCCACTTCCTGCCCCAGGGGTGGTTGGACTTGGCTCTCCTGGCTCTTCTCCAGCTCTGGGGGCAGGAAACTGAACCCAGTCCTGGCCTAATTGCCCTCCTTTTTCTTCCTTATTGGAGCCCTGTAGGGGTGTGTGTGTGTGTGTGTGTGTGTGTGTGTGTTTGTGTGTGTGTGTGTTTATGAGGCTCTGGTTCCTGGAATTCTCAGCCTCAATTATTTGTCCAGAACAGAATTCATCCTGAAATGTCACTTTAGGCTCTGGGCCATTTGCTTTTGTCCTCTGTGTGAGAATGGGGTAAAGAGCCACGGCTGAATCCAGGCATTCCCGGGTCCCCTAAATATCACCTGTACCCTCAATAGTAGAAAAGCAGGAAAGACAGCAGTAGGATAGAGTGGGGGTAGGGAGTGTATCTCAAGGGCCCCTAGGCATAAGAGAACCTGTGTGAACTGGGGTCATTTAAGGAGGCACAGGTTAGCAGAGAGGACCGTTGTGTAAGCTAGCAAAGCTTAAGGAATTGGACCCTTGAGGTCCAGGGTCCTGCCTGTTGCACCCAGTAGGTGGTCTTAGATGAAGGTTGAACTTGATGCCACAGGCTCCGTGCCCCACCAGCGTTCTCAGAATTCTGGATCTGGTTTGCATGCAGGCTCACCATCCACTTAGAGCTCATCTTTCCTCATATCCACCATCTCTCTGTGCCTTAGAGCCTTAGCTGTGGTGTTCTTCTAGAGCACTCAAAGAATCCTAGAGTAAGTAGCACAGGGCAGTGAAACCTGTTTCTCTGGGGACGGGTCCCCGACACAGGGGCACCCCAACCAGCCTTTGCAAACACGTGTTTGTCCAGCTAGTCTCCTTCGCTTTGCTGGAGCCCAGGCCTGGCAGTTCACGGGCTTGGAGACAGGTGGCAACAGCAGCTTATTCGTAAGATGGCACTGGGTGGTCAGCAGGTCAGAGGTCAGAAGTCCGCCCTCTGGATTTAGCTAGACGTGTTCTACCTGCCCGCTTGCAATCCTCGCGGCTCCTCCTCAAAGGCTGTCTATCACCACAGCAGGTCTGCATTTCGTTATAGGCACAGGTGGCCCAGAAGAAAGAGGTAGGAGATGAAGTGTTCCCTCGCAGTGTGGCGAGGGTGACTTCAATACTAGTCCAAGGAAGAAATGGCAAATTGCATCCTAGAGTCAGTGGATGTGTGTCTGAATCTTGGGTCACTGGTGGGATCTAGGAAGAGTTAATTCTCTGTGCCTTGGTTTTTCTCATCTATCAAGCAAGAGAGTCGTTGTGAGGATTAAATGAGTAGGCACATAAAACATATTCAAAGTCAATACTTCCAGCAATTACAGCGGCAACTGAGGTCCCAGCGGGTAAACACACTTGACAGATTTCTCTAAGTTCACTGTTTGAAATTCCCACAATTTGTTGTAGCTGATCTACGGAAAGTCAAGCTTTCATCTATGCAGATGATCCTTGCTCTGAGCAATCTTCCAGACTGCCCAGGCCTTAGAGGCAGCCTGGCCGGCTGCCTTGCCCTGCTGTGAACTGCTCCGATGGGCCATAAAGGAAGCCCTACAAACAGAAGGGTTGTCCCTGTCAGCAGCCTCAAACAACACATCGCATATCCCCACATCCTCATCCCTCACTGAGTCATTAGGGTGCTGGCGACAGCCAAGCCCTCCAGAACTCTGTCTTGCCAGCCTGAGCTCTGTGTAGGGTAATGAGGTCTATGAGGCGGCCACCCATGGAGCCGCCTTCCTTTATTACTCCCTTGACATAAGTTGCTGGGATGTTAAGCAGCATATTTAAGTGGTTCTAGCTCGGGATGGTGAGTGAGCTCATGACGCCTGAACCAAGGCGCTGGCTTGTTACTAACAGATGTTTCTCCACTTCAGCCTATATCTGTCCAGATGGAGAATGCACATGATCATATTCTTCCTCCCTCCCCCTTCTCTCTTTCTCTCTCTCTCCATCGCCCTCTGGGTTTTACAGAGCTCAGGCTGGCCTTGAACCACTATGTATTCCCAAGGACAACTGATCCTCCCAGCTTCACTTCCTGAACTCCTGAACATTGAGGTTCTAAGCTACATGCCCAGTTTCTCCTGGCACTGAGGATTGAACCCATGGCTTCATGCTAGATAAGCAGTCTACTAAGCTAGAAGCTCAGTCTTTTTTTTTTTTTTTTTAGCCTGCCTCAGCTACCCTGCAGGTATAAACCCACCATGGGAGGAGGATTTGTGTGTGTGTGTCTTATTAGGGGGAAGGCTCCCATGCGCTGGTGTCTCTGTGGATGTCAGAGGGCAGGTTGGAAGAGTTGGTTTTCTCCTGTTATGCAGATTCTGGGGACAAAACCTCAGGTTGTCAAGCACCATGCCCCGCCTCCTCTTTTGGCCTTTTTTGTTTGTTTGCTTACTTTTAGTATTCTTTTATTTTATTTATTTTTTTGTTTTCTCAAGACAGGGTTTCTCTGTGTAGCCTTGGCTATCCTAGACTCACTTTGTAGGCCAGGCTGGCCTTGAACTTCCAGAGATTCACCTTCCTCTGCCCCTGATTGCTGGGATCAGAGGGGTGTGCCACCATGCCCGGCTACCTTTGCTATCTTTAATTGTGTATGTCTATGTGGAGGTATGTATGTGAGTACAGAGCCCAATGATGCCAGAGGCTGGAGGCCTAACATCCCTGGAACTGGACTCATGGGCAGTAGTTAGCCGCCAGGTAGGTGCTGGGAATCAAACTCAGATCCCCTAGAAGAGCAGGGAACCACTGAGCCATCTCTCCAGCCCTTTGTTTCCTTTTTTTTTTTTTTTTAATTACAATTTTGGTCCATCACAGTGCTGCGTTTCATTGTTTCATTTTCTTTTTCTTCTTTCATGTCTCCTTTCCTTTCCTATATCAAGATGTCCTTTATTTACTTATCAAAATATTTATTTTTTATGCATATGCTTGCATGTCTGAGTACATATGTTTGAGCATGCGGAGGCCAGAAGAGGGTAACAGAGCCCTGGGAGCTGGAGTCGCAGGTTGTGGTGCGCTGCCTGATGCGGGTGCTGGGCCAGACTCTGCCAGGGCAGCGGTGCTCTTGACCACAGAGTCATCTCCAGCCCCCTTTGTTTCAGCTTTGTGTTTTTATTTATATACTACAGTGACAGTGACTAGCACAAACCTCAAGCAGGAAAATGGACCGACTTCAACCCCATTCCCCAGGTACACACACCTCCTTCACCCAGACCAAGACGCCTCCAGAAGCCCTGTGAGAAGTTAGGATGTTCTGCTGGCAACATTAACGCAAGTAAAGCAGCAGGTGAGATTAAGTTTTAATAATGTATCTCATTTAAAGCAACAGATCCAAAATATCATTTTAATACACAATTAGCAATAAAATTGCACATGTGATATCACACTTTTCCTTACTCAGACTTTAGAGTCCAGCATATCTCAACTAGCCTGGCCACTTGTTCAGTGCTCAGTAGCCACGTGTGGCTGGTGGGTACTGTACCAGACAGCATGGGTCCAGGAAGCAAGGGATGGATGACAGTGAAAAATGGAAGTGATGCCAACAACATTCATTGATAGGAGTACAAATTGTTCAAAACAAAACCCCATCTTTTTCTATTTTCTTTTCAATGCTGGGGGAGGAACCCAGGGTCTCATATTACTACTGAGTTACACCCCTCACCCCAACTATGTAAGTAATAAGCCATTAATCATATTTCTATGTAAGTATTGGTTACTTAGTTTTCTTTTCTTTCTTTTTTGTTATTTTTTAAAGATTTTATTTACTTATTTTTATATATGAGTGTTCCATCTGAAGAGGGCATCAGACGGTTGTAGCCATGATGTGGTTGCTGGGAATTTAACTCAGGACTTCTGGAGGAGCAGACAGTGCTCTTATCTGCTGAGCTATCTCTCCAACTTGTTTTGTTTTGTTGAGACAGGGTTTCCCTGCGTAGCCCTTGCTGTCCTGGAACTCACTCTATATACCAGCCTGACCTCTCAGAGATCTGCTTGCCTCTGCTTTCTGACCTGAGCTGCTAGGATTAAAGGCCTGCACCACTATTCTGCCAATGTCTTTTTTGCTTGTTTGTTTATTTGTTTGTTTTTGTATCAAGACAGAGTTTTTGAACTCACTCTGTAGACCAGGCTGGCTCAAACTCCGAGGTCTTCACCAGGAAATTGGATTAAGACCACACCCTGCCTCAATTCTCTGGCA